AAGAGTAGAGATTCGAGGTGTTCATTAATATTTTTCTGGGCATGTTGTTTCATATTTTCACTATTTTGTCCATCAATGGCCCTATTTTCCAAAGCTTAAGTATTGAAAAAATTCATAATTCAAAGAAAAGTATCAAACTAAGAAGTCCATGCTTGTTCCAAATGGGGAGCCAGTCCTATTGTCACTCAACCCTCACAGAAACCAAAGCAATACATAGGTAAAACCCATCAAACTCACAACAGATAAAAGGAAAACACTCTAGAGAATTTAAGACGGTAAGTTTCCACTCAACCCTAAAAAAAAAAGCTCCCGCCAAATAGTAGGTAACTTTAATATCTTAAATAAAATCTACTTTAATATCTTAATAAAATCTACTGAGATGAAAAGAGCTTTCAACACTACATGAAAAGAAAAAAAAGAAAAGCAGACAACCCAAATACATTATTATGAAGCAATATGCTTCCTTGCGACTAAAAATGACCCAGTTAACAACTATAGACAATAAATTATAATAGCATAAAAAGTCGAGAAAATCAATGATAGATCCAATATTAATAGTTATAATAACATTGGGCTACTAAGGGGACAGGAAAGTTTAAAAACAAAATTACACTGGCACACTGTCAATGAAGATTTGAAGTACAAAAACATGAATCATCCATTATAATTTTGTAACTATGCATGAACGCAAATGAATGATGAGAATTCACCACCCACTTTATTTTTACCTAAATTATACATATATATATATATATATTAACTTGCTGTGCTGAGTGGGAAAAAAATTTACAATGATGATTTGACATGATTATGGATACATGATATATTACTCAATAATTATTATATAAGTATAATAACAAATCTCAACTATATGTAAATGTGACAGGTACACATTATATTAAAAATATAGAATTTCATTTTTAATAGTAAAATTTAGCATCTTACGCGACACTAGATTAGGGTTGCTGCCTCTCTCTGTGCCTCTATATCGACATCAAGTGGCTGTGGGTGTTGGGTCTCCAACATTGTCATGTAAATCCCCATTCGGCTAGATGTGTATCATGAAAATCATATAAACTAATTTCATAAGTAAAAACACTAAATTAGCACAAAAGACACATACATAACAATAACAACAACGGCTAGATGCTCAATTAAATTAAATAAATTCATATCCTTTAGACTAGACAACCAAATTAGAGATTTTCACGAGGATAACATGAACTAACTTGTAAGTAAGAGAGCCTATCATGCAAATATATTGCAAGACTTCAGCTACCAAACCCGAGCTAAATGACTGGTATACAGAGACAAAAGTGAAGCGCTCACTGATTTGGTCTTGTATTATCTAGAACATCCATATCAAACTTTTGATGAATTTTCATTTCGCTAAATTGATGCATGCTTTAAAGGATGCGGTTGTTTCACAGGGACACAAAGCTATTGTTTTTTTTTAATCTTTTAGTCACTAAAAATCATAGCATTTGTATATTTGTATCGATATTTGTCAAGAAAGCTTAGAGAAATCTCCTAGGAGGCAGCAGATGATACAGGAATCACAGACAAAGATGAAGTCTTAGCATTGTCCCCGGCATAATCATTTTCAAAATATGTCCGCTTACCAAGCTTCAGACCAATCAACAGTTCACCAGACCCAACTGAAGGCTCCAATGGTAGAGAAGTTCCAGTTAACTCAGTTCTGGTCAATTCATTCTTCTTGCCAAAATCTTCAGGAAAATCATGAAATGCCTCGACAGCAATCTTTGACATTTTTGATATCTCCTTTGATGAAGAATCCATGGAAGCTGATACTGAGCTCCTTGCTGAAGAACAATGTGCCAAATCAGAGCTGGAACCAACAGCTCCACCCCCAGATAGATTAAACGACACTGTATCAATTTCTCCCTCCCCAATTTCCCAGTCTGTTGGTTGCTTCTTAGGACTTTCAACAGTTTTTGAATTGAACATGATTAGGTTTTCCCAGTCCCACTTAGCATTCCAATCCATTGCAGATAGAGAGTTTATGTTTTCATTTCACTCAATCTTCCTCGCCACAGAATGCACAAGCAACTGGGTATCAGATCTGCATCTTTAACATGCAGATAAATCAAAGTTAATTTAGATAGAATAACATCTGATGTAAAAAAACTTCAATTAAAAAAAGGAAAGAAAAATACAATAGATCATGTAAAAGGCAGAAAGAACACAAGAACAGAACTAAAACTATTAAGATGTTCTAGAAAGATTGGATTACAAGAGATGTAGTGGATGAGTAATCCATGTCACAAGAAGAAAAAGACTATCTTTAAGACTCAGCCCATGAACCTGCAGTGCATATCTATTTCAGGAGATTGATGAATTACACAAAGTAAATGCCAATATTTCCTTTAAATAAGTATCATTCACTTGTTTCAATCATCCACAGGAATGGAGGTGAAGCTACTTGGGGACCAGAGGGGCCTGCTCCCCAGGACTGTTTTATCAAAGGAGGAACTAAAAAGGAAACCACCTACAAGAGAAATGAAAAGGGATTTAATTAAGATGGTTTCATGGCACCATAAATGAAGTCTAAAAGCACCAAGTCAAATCCATACCTCCAACGGTTAATCCTGAAATACAATCCAGATGGCCTTTGAAAGTCACACTCATCTTTGTCATAACAAATACACCACATACACATGTTACATAACGTTGGAGTAACCACCCAACATTGTAAGGCCCACTTGAAATTCTTATACAAAATGGAAAAAAGAAAATAAACAGGACATATTTGCATGTATGAAAATGAAGGATTGCGATTCACCTTGAATGGCAAAAGAAAGAACGATTCCAATCTGAAATCTAAACAATGATAAAAATGTCAAGATAAAAAAGCTGGTAAGCCTAACTTTAATGTGTATAACGAAAATCATATAAACTAATTTCATAACCAAAAACACAAAATTAACACAAAAGACACATACATAAACAATAACAACAAGAAGAAATGACAAAAAAACAAAGAACAATAATTAAATCTATTAGTTGCCTTATATACATCACATAACCAGACGACTACAATTGAGGTTTTCCTTTTATCAAAGTCAAATTTAAAAATCAAACTATTATTATAGTTTATGTAATAATTAAGGGGGGGAAAAAAAAGACGACTACAATTGAGGTTTTCCTTTTATCAAAGTCAAATTTAAAAATCAAACTATTATTATAGTTTATGTAATAATTAAGGGGGGAAAAAAAAGCACCACCAACAACTCAACAAAGCTCCAAGTTTTAATTTTTAATTTTAGACACTGTTCATACAATCGGCTCATTTTATTTTAATCTTATCTTTCATTCATTTTTCCACTTACTTTCATTTTCCCTCCACAAATCACTCTCCAAATCCAAGATTCAATCACACAAAAAAAAATTGCAATTTTAATTTTTCTAATTATTCCACTGCCTTAAATTTCTAAAACTCCTAAACTTTTGCATAAATATATATATCTAAAGAAAAAAAATCCCAATTTTGAGTGGGGTTATGCAGCTCCACGAATGATCTGATTCAAGGGGGGGAAAAAACGAAGAAATTGAGAAATTAAGGGGGTAAAGAAAAAGATTGAATTACCTGAAACATATCGATAGAGAGATCAGAGAGATTTTGGTTGGATTGAAAAGAGAGAGTTGTGGTGTTGAGTCAACCGAAGCTGGTGGGGGTGGGGGAGGAAAGGCCAGAGGGTGTCGGTGGTACCGCATCAGTGAAGCAAAACGAACAGAGAAGAGGGCTTCTGGTGGTGCAATTCGATCGGAGAGAAAGGGCTTTCGGTGGTGCGATTCGAACGGAGAGAAAGGGCTTTCGGTGGTGCGATTCGAACGGAGAGAGAGGGTTTCCGGCAGTGCTCGTGTGCATGTGAGAAGGCAAGGAAGACATCAGCAAGAGGGTTTCACGAGCTCAGACCAGAGAGAGAGAGAGAGAGAGAGACGAGACTGGGTGAGAGAGTGAGAGAAAGAGTGCGAAAGAGAAGTGATCTGGGTAGAGTAATTTGGCGCCTCCACCAAAATTTCTTAAGGCGGGAATTTGTTTTGTAACCAAAATTAAAATTTAGAGATGAAAATTTTTTTGTCACTTATTATTTTATTTATTTTAAGCATTTAGTGATGAAATTTTGTTTTTGTCCCTAAAAATAGTACGATTGGAGATGAAATCTTATTTTCATCACTAAAACATGTATATTTGGAGACGAAATATTTTTTCATCATGTATTTTCGTCACCATAGACCTTTTTTGTTGTAGTGGTTATATATATATATATATATTTTCACACATATATATGACACAGTTATACATACCCAAATTACTCCTATACAGGACTTCAAATATAGTAGAACTAGCGTAGTTAGAAATTTCATTCAATGGGATCATTCAAAAAGTTGAGTAGAGAATTTTATGACATAATTTTAATTCTACACATACCTCAAGTAATGGGGAACACCATATTGGTGAAACAGTTGGAGGAGTTGCTATTGCCTTTTCCAACATTTCTGATAAAAATTCACTAATGTTTCATTACATTCATGAATTTAAATGCATGCAATTCAACAGAATTAACAGTACCAAATGAAGCTAGCTTACCCAAACAAGAAAATTACCCAACAGAAAAAGTACACTAACTGATCAAAGTCAATGAAGTATGTACTATTTGCAGTGGTGACTGCAAACAGGTGGGACTGTTAGCATAAAATTAAGCTCGGCCCAAGTTTGTTTTTACTGTGGAGTACCTAAACACATGGATAAATGCCTTTAACATGTGTTAAGGGCTCTATGGTTGGAATCATTTATAGAAATTTCAGCCACCTGGCTAAAGAAATATACCAGTCATGGCTAGAATTTTCAGTGGGGAGCAGAGCATCATCAGTGGGGAGCCTCAAATCATCCTTGGTGTTTCCATTTTCAGTCAAAAGACTCACCTAAACAAAATGCAAATTTCAGTTGCCATTGTGACATTTTGTCGAGCACCTTGCAGACACAAAAAGTATATATCATGAGTCATCTTTGCTATACATAGAGAAACTATACAGATGAGAGAAAAAACAATCCAAAATCAGCAAATAAAGATCAAACCATTTCAGAACTGAATTCAAAACTAATTCACTCATCAGATCAGAGAAGAACCAGATTTCAGAAAAATAGAGAGAGAAATGGAAGTTTTCTTACCTGTGATAATGGTGGCCCGGAGATCCTTGGTCGATCTAGAGATAATTTCAGAGAGATCAAAGAGGAAGGGCTGAGTCGATCAAAGTGGAATCGCATATGCAGTGACGGTGGTGCTCGTGTGCGATGGCAGTGATACTCCCGTACCCGACGACGATGGAGACAAAGGCGAGAGAGAGAGCTGGAGGAGGGCAGAGGCATGAGAGAGTGAGAAAGAGAGAGAGAAAAGAAAGAAGTAATAAAGTTTCCCTCCGAAGTTTCCCTCCGAAGTTTCCCTCCGAAGTTTCCCTCCGAAGTTTCCCTCCGAAGTTTCCCTCCGAAGTTTCCCTCCGAAGTTTCCCTCCGAAGTTTCCCTCCGAAGTTTCCCTCCGAAGTTTCCCTCCGAAGTTTCCCTCCGAAGTTTCCCTCCGAAGTTTCCCTCCGAAGTTTCCCTCCGAAGTTTCCCTCCGAAGTTTCCCTCCGAAGTTTCCCTCCGAAGTTTCCCTCCGAAGTTTCCCTCCGAAGTTTCCCTCCGAAGTTTCCCTCCGAAGTTTCCCTCCGAAGTTTCCCTCCGAAGTTTCCCTCCGAAGTTTCCCTCCGAAGTTTCCCTCCGAAGTTTCCCTCCGAAGTTTCCCTCCGAAGTTTCCCTCCGAAGTTTCCCTCCGAAGTTTCCCTCCGAAGTTTCCCTCCGAAGTTTCCCTCCGAAGTTTCCCTCCGAAGTTTCCCTCCGAAGTTTCCCTCCGAAGTTTCCCTCCGAAGTTTCCCTCCGAAGTTTCCCTCCGAAGTTTCCCTCCGAAGTTTCCCTCCGAAGTTTCCCTCCGAAGTTTCCCTCCGAAGTTTCCCTCCGAAGTTTCCCTCCGAAGTTTCCCTCCGAAGTTTCCCTCCGAAGTTTCCCTCCGAAGTTTCCCTCCGAAGTTTCCCTCCGAAGTTTCCCTCCGAAGTTTCCCTCCGAAGTTTCCCTCCGAAGTTTCCCTCCGAAGTTTCCCTCCGAAGTTTCCCTCCGAAGTTTCCCTCCGAAGTTTCCCTCCGAAGTTTCCCTCCGAAGTTTCCCTCCGAAGTTTCCCTCCGAAGTTTCCCTCCGAAGTTTCCCTCCGAAGTTTCCCTCCGAAGTTTCCCTCCGAAGTTTCCCTCAGATATGAAGCACAATTTTTAAATTTTGTAATTATAATCGCCGACTAATATTTACTCGGTAAAAATTCTTAAAAAAAAAAAAAAAAAAAAAAAAAAAAAAAAAAAAAAACTATACAACATATGATAATGACTCGATGGTGGCTTCAATGTTGCTCAAAATTGAAGCTCAAAAAAAAAAAAATAATAATAATAATAACTAATTGGAGTCTTTTTATAATTTTTTACATTATAATTTTTCTTTTTTGATACTATAATTTTATTTAAAAGTTACTAAAATGGTCTTCTCTTTTTCTCCATTATTATTGTTTATAATTTTTTTATTTTCATTCGGCTACCAAACTATTTAGTAGCCAAAAGTAGTCCTTTGGCGACTAAAACGTAATTTAGTCGGTGAATCCCCTGTTTTTGGCGACCAAAATTTTGGTCGCCAAAGGTATTTTATAATTTTTTTATTTTCATTCGGCTACCAAATTATTTAGTAGCCAAAAGTAGTGCTTTGGCGACTAAAACGTAATTTAGTCGGTGAATCCCCTGTTTTTGGCGACTAACAATTTGGTCGCCAAAGGTATTTTATAATTTTTTTATTTTCATTCGGCTACCAAACTGTTTAGTAGCCAAAAGTAGTGCTTTGGCGACTAAAACGTAATTTAGTCGGTGAATCCCCTGTTTTTGGCGACTAACAATTTGGTCGCCAAAGGTATTTTATAATTTTTTTATTTTCATTCGGCTACCAAACTGTTTAGTAGCCAAAAGTGGGTCTTTGGTGACTAAAAATTCTTTTAGTCGCCAATTGTGATATGTTTAGCTACTAAAAAATTTTTTAGTCGCCAATTGTATTTTTTTTAGCTACTAAATTTTTTTTAGTAGCCAATAATCAACATTCCCCTACTAAAAAAAATTAGTAGCTAAAAAGTTGACTTTTGTCGACTAATATTATTTTTGGTAGCCAATTCTGTGACTTTTGACGACTAAATTAGTTTTGGTAGCTAAAAGTGATCGGCAAAAATGCTTTTTCTTGTAGTGAGTTCACAGTGTACTAGACGTTCTAATTTGACTTGTGGAGTCTATCATGTACTCCACTTTAATGATATACTCTGCTTCTTCTTCTTTTTTAATGTTTAAAAACATCGATAATTTATTTAAAAACTTA